AGTCATAAATGTTACTGTTAAAATTATAAACACTATCAATGAAAGAAAGGAAAAATTCAGTAAACATATACAGATAAATACACACATAAAAAGGAGAAAATGCAATTATCACTTTGCTTTTTCATACAATATCCAAAGCCCCAGGTCATGATCAATATACAGCAGGTTATTATTCCCTATATGGCAGAGAGAACATACCTTCAGTAAACATTTCTGAAGATATGAGTCTTCAAAAGCTCCCTTTGTTCCCTGTTCACTTTTACTTGGAATTACAAAGCATTCTGCAATTTACTCTGCACCTCAGAATTCTCTTAGTGTGGGGCTGAATTGATAGTACAACAGCTAAAACACTTACCTTGCACACATCCAGCCAGGTTTAATCCCTGGCATCCCATATAGTAGCCTGAACCACGTCATATCTGATGTCTGAACATAAGAGCCAACAAGAGCAAGCCCTGAGAATAGCCAGGTGTGACCCAAAGAAACAAACAAAATTCTCCTAGTCACATCTTCATTTGGTAGCCATTCTCCTTACATCTAATGTTAACATTATTTTTGTTCATGGGAAACCTTATCCTGCACCTGAATCCATAAATCAACAAGGCATGAGTATTTTATGTTAATAAAAATTACGACCATTGGAAAAATAGATGTTTCTATCCTTCCAGAATAGAAAATAGAGAAAAATATGAGGTCCTTCTTCTATAAAAGATCCATTTATTATACAGTCCCTAGAAAAACTGAATGGCCAACTTTTCTAGGCAGACCCCAAATCCCAAATACACAGCTGAGGACCCACACTTGGTCTCTGTTTCTCCTAAAAAATTCAAGCTGGACAGAGTCAACTTCCTTTTATTCTTTTTTTTATGTAGGAGTACTGCTATTTATTCAGACACTGATTAGCTGATTGAATTGTGCATGAACTACCCCTTAATTTTTTTCATTTTTTATAATTTTATTTATTGAATCACCATGAGAGCAGTTAAAAAGCTTTCGGGTCTAAGTCTCGGTCATACAATGAAACACCCGTACCTTCACCAGTGACCATTCTCCACCACCAAAAAACCCAGTATACCCCCATCCCACACCCTCCCCCTACCTGTGGGGCAGATGATTTCCACATTACTCTCTCTCTACTTTGATCACATTCAATATTTCTTTTTTTTTAATTTTTTTTATTAGTGAAATACCATGAGGTACAGTTGTAGATTTACAATTTTTTGTGCTTGGGTTTGATTATACAATGATCAGATACCCATCCCTCCACCAGTACCCATTTTCCACCACCATGGATAATATCCCCCCCACCCCCATCCCCCCATCCCCCCCTGCCTCTGTGGCAGGGCAATCCCCTGTGTTCTCTCTCTCCTTTTGGGTGTTGTGGTCTGCAAAAGAGGCATTGAGTGGCAAACATGTTCAGTCCATAGTCCACTTTCGACATGCATCTCCCCTCCTGGGAGGATCCTCCAAACACCCTTTATTTGGTGTTCCCTTCTCTATCTGAGCTGCCCTTTCCTCTAGAATGCCCGACTGGCCACTAAGCTATGGAGTAATCCTCCTGGTGCTGATCTCAGCTATTCTTGGGTATTAATCTCATATTTTGTTACTTTATATCCCCCAGATGAATGCAATCTTTCTATGTCTATCCCTCTCTCTCTGACTCATTTCGCTTAGCATGATACTTTCCATGTTGTACCACTTGTATGTAAATTTCATGACTTCATCTTTTCTAACAGCTACATAGTACTCCATTGTGTAGATGTAACAAGGTTTCTTTAACCAGTCATCTGTTCTTGGGCATTCAGGTTTTTTTCCAGTTTCTGGCTATTGTAAAGAGTGCTGCAATGAACAAACAAGTGCAGATGTCACTTCGACTATACATTTTTGCCTCTCTGGGAGATATTCCCAGGAGTGATATTGCTGGGTCAAATGGGAGCTCAATTTCTAATTTTTTGAGAATCATCCATACTGTTTTCCAGAAGGGCTGAACTAGTCGACATTACCACCAACAGTGAAGGAGTGTCCCTTTCTCACCACATCCGCGCCAGCATCGGTTGCTTTTGTTCTTTTGAATGTGGGCCAGTCTCTGAGGTGTGAGATGGTATCTCATTGTGGTTTTGATCTGCATCTCCCTGATGATTAATGATGTAGAGCATTTTCTTATGTGCTTTTTTGCCATTCGGATTTCTTCTTTGAGAAAGTTTCTGTTCATTTCATTGCCCCATTTTTGGATGGGGTTGGATGTTTTCTTCTTGTGGAGTTTAACCAGTATTTTGTATATCCTGGATATCAACCCCTTGTCAGATGTGTATTCGGCGAATATCCTTTCCCATTCTGTAGACTGTCTTTGTATTTTGGTCACTGTTTCTTTGGAGGTGCAGAAACTTCTTAGTTTAAGATAGTCCCATTTATCTATCTCTGTTTTCACTTGCTCAGACAGTGGCGTGGCATCTTTGAAGATACCATTAGCTTCAATGTCATGGAGGGTTTTGCCAACTTTGTCTTCAGTGTACCTTATGGTTTCTGGTCTGATGTTGAGGTCTTTAATCCATTTTGATCTTACTTTTGTACATGGTGTTAGGCAGAGTTCTGAGCCCATTTTTTTGCATGTAGCCGTCCAGTGATGCCAGCACAATTTGTTAAAGAGGCTTTCCTTACTCCACTTCACATTACTTGCACCTTTATCAAAGATTAGATGATCATATGATTGAGGGGAGATGTCAGTGTATTCAACCCTGTTCCATTGGTCTGCAGTTCTGCCTTTGTTCCAGTACCATGCTGTTTTAATTATTACTGCTTTGTAGTACAGTTTGAAGTTTGGGAGGTTGATTCCTCCCATTTTCTTTTTCCCAATAATTGCTTTAGCTATTCGTGGGGGCTTATTGTTCTATATAAATTTCAGGAGTGTTTGCTCCATTTCTTTGAAGAATGTCATGGGTATCCTTATAGGGATTGCATTGAATTTATACAATGCTTTCAGTAGTATTGCCATTTTGACAATGTTAAGTCTCCCGACCCATGAGCAGGGGATATCTTTCCATTTCCTCATGTCCTCTTTTATTTCCTGAAGTAGTGTTTTGTAGTTTTCTTTGTACAGGTCCTTTACTTCCTTAGTTAAGCTGATTCCTAATACTTGATTTTCTGGGGCACAATTGTGAATGGGATTGTTTTTTTCATGTTGCTTTCTTCTCTCTCACTGTTTGCATATAGGAAAGCCATGGACTTTTGGGTATTGATTTTATAGTCTGCAACTTTACTATACGAGTCTATTGTTTCTAGGAGTTTTTTGGTGGAGGTTATTGGATTCTCTAAGTATAGTATCATATCATCTGCGAATAGTGAGAGCTTGATTTCTTCCTTTCCTACCTGAATGCCCTTAATATCTTTTTCTTGCCTAATCGCTATTGCAAGTACTTTCAGTACTATATTGAACAGCAGTGGAGAGAGTGGGCATCACATTCAATATTTCGACACCAAACACACCATTATTACTTGCTATTTTACCCCAACACCCAGATCTGCTGAAAAGGCAACAGTAGACATTTTGTGTTCTATTGCTGGTTATGAATAATATATGATGTCGCGTGGCTGCAGTAGAGCCATGTGATTTTGAAATTCCGAAATTTTAACACTTAAATCTGGAGGGATTTCTGCCAAAAGCCACTGGTTTCAAGATTTGCTCCTGAGTCTCTGGGATCATGGCCATTGAGCAGCTTGTTCAGGAGCCAGAGAAGCCGTTCGTGGGCGATGACTTGGGGTCTTGTTCAGACGGGAAGACCAGGACCGGCTCTACCCCCATCCTGTGAGACCCAAAAAGTTTCATCTCTGCGGGCCCAAGCCTGACTGTCCAATGGCCTCTGGATGATGACGGCCACGGAGCCGCCAGGGGGAAGCAGGCAGAGGGATAGCACCCTTTCCCCCCTGGCATGGCCCAGCAACAGTAACCTACTGTGGGGACCGGCCACACTTCTTCCAAAAGCCGCTGGGTTTCAAGATTTGTTTCTGAGTCTCTAGGATCATGACCATTAAGCAGCTTGATCAGGAGCCAGAGAGGCCGTTCGGGGCGATGACTTGGGGTCTCATTGGGGTGGGGAGGACAGGTCCGACTCCCCTCACATCTCGTGAGGCCCTGCATGTCTCATCACTGGGAGCCCAAACCTGACTGTCCAGTGGCTTCTGAAGGATGGTGGCCACCGGGCTGTCCAGGGGAACAGGCTAAGGCACGAAACCTATTCCCACCTGGGTTGGCCCAGCACCGGTAACCTACTGCAGGGACCAGACGCATTTTTGACAAAAGCTGTTGGGCTTCGAGATTTGTTTCTGAGTCTCTGGGATCATGGCCATTAAGCAGTTCAATCAGGAACAAGAGAGGCCATGCCTCTAATTATATAGCTGAGCTGAAGGTGGTTTGTGGGTGTGTTTCCCACATACGTAACTTTTGACCATTTACTTTCTTGGTAAAGTTTGCCCCAAGTTTTTGGGGTCTGGCCAAAGGCACAGCAGCAATTTTGGGGTATCTGGAAGTCTGAAGGCGCCATGAGGCTGCTGATGCACTCGCCTCACAGGTACAGATTGACCTGCTGGCAGCACCGTACCCCCCCCCCCCAACTTCCTTTTATTCTGAGGATTAATTCAGAACTCATATATTTGTCCAAAGGTATAAAATTCCCGTACCTATTTTCATTAACAAAAAAAATTATCTCATGATAGTACATTAGGTAGTGCATTTGCCTTGCATATGGCCAACCAGGGTTCAATCCCTGGAATCCCAATGATCCCAGGATAATTTCTGGGTGCAGAGCCAGGAGTAACCCCTGAGCATCTCTGGGTTTGCCCCAAAAAGGAAAAAAATCTTTGCTAGTAAAGTCTTCATCCAAAGCAGCAGAGCAAGACTACAGTCACGCAGGACTTACTCAGAGGCCTTTGGAATAGGGTCTGCAGTTCCTGGAAGAGTCAGAAGCAAGTGGGGGGGAAACTGATGGGGACATGACCTCAGGGTTTCAGCCGAGTAATGGAGATTTGGGCCCTGGGGGAGCGCCATCAACACCAGAGTGTGAGCTCACAGGCTCCTCCTGAGAAAAAGGAAAACTCTTAATGGGCACAGGGAGCTCAGGCCCACCCACCACGGAGCAGATGGACAGGGACACATCTCCTGAATAAATCATAAAGTACGGAAATAGGGTGCCAGAGAAGGAAGTCTGAGAGAAGGAGAAAATGTGGGAGCCATCTGTCATGTTATAGAAGGAGACATCCACTTTCTCAGGGTCCAGGAAAACCCCCACACTGTGGGGAACCTGACGAAGGAACAGAGCAGTAAAAGGAGTAGTAAAAGCTTTAAATCCGTCTTCAGAATTCCCCGCAACCCAGAACCCCTTGTGTGGAGACTCTTGGTACCAGCCTGTCCTTTTCACATTTTCTCTACAGACCCCCAGAGCCCAAAGGCTTCTGTCTCCTTTCCTGATTTCCACCTCCCAGCAACAGCGCCCTGATGTGATGCCCTCAAGGCCTAAGATGCTATGTATGTCTCCTGATGCTGAAGTAGCATCCTTCAAGGTCAGACTTGTATTCTTCTGATAGACAACAATTCCAGGACTGGCAGATCCTGGATCCAGAGTGACAGGCCCTGCAAAGAGAAACACCAATCATGCAAGGCCTTCAGCATAATGGAGCACACAAAACCTCACCCCATATACTTAGGTGCATGGGAGACAGGGGTACAAAAACTCCTGAGATGAGGAACACAAAAGCTTATAACCCTTTAAGGAAAAGAAACCAAAGATTGATTTGGTTTAGAAATTAGATAAGTCACGAGGTCCTTGAAGGCTAGTTGGACTCCATGAGCTGTATGAAGTCTCTTTAGCTTCCAGTACCAGTCATATAGCTGTATAACTATCACCACCACAGCCCAGCCATGTAGTATATCTATCACACAGAGACTGATAGAGAGAGAGACCAAAAGTTGTGGGAGGAGCAGAAGCACCCAGAAAGAATATGAAATCACTCACAGGTCTGAAACATGTCCTTGCGCCAATCTACAAGAAAACCATACAGTCATATCAGAGATTTGTATATATATCAGAGTTGACTAGTAATTTTCTGAAATATTATAATGAAGAAACTGTATAACATGTTTTGAAAATATTCAAGTGATTATTTTGGAGACAGAGAGAGAGAGAGACAGAGAGAGAGAGAGAGAGAGGGACACCATGCTGCAACCCTCCCATGCAGGCAAAGCCATAAAGCTTAATACCCAGGGATTAGGAGCTGGATACAGCTCTCATTATGGGAGACATTTTTTACATCTTTGGAGATTTTTATAGCCTTTTATTTATTCATGTAAATAATATATTATCTATAATAAAATATTTTATAGCATAAAAATATGCCAAACACAGTAACAACAAAGTCTCCAATGGAGACGTTACTGGGCCCGCTCGAGAAAATCGATGACAGTGACAGTGATAAAAATATATCTAACATAAAGCCCCTATTCCTTTTGTAAGATAAAGCATACTTTTATACTTCTATAAAACTATTCAAATATTCCACTAATTGGGGGTATAGTGCTGCAAGCAGGTCAATCTGTACCTGTGAGGCCAGTACATTAGCAGCCTGATGGCACCTTCATATTTCCAGATACCCCAAAATTGCTGTTGTGCCTTTGGCCAGACCCCAAAAACTTGGGGCACACTTTACCAAGAAAGTCAACGGCCATATGTTAGGTATGTGGGAGACACCCACAAACCACTCCGGCTCAGTTATATAATTGGAGGCATGGCCTCTCTGACTTCTGATCAAACAGCTTTGATCAGAATGGCCATGATCCCAGAGACTCAGAAACAAATATCGAAACCCAGTGGCTTTTGGCAGAAATGCGTCTGGTCCCTGCAGTAGGTTACCGGCTCTGGGCCACCCCAGGTGGGAATAGGTTTCACGCCTTAGCCTGTTCCCCTGGCAGCTCCCAGAACTCGCGGCCGCGTTACATCTTATTTTGACATCTTATTATCGCATTCCTACTTTAGACAAACTGGCAGGCTACCAAATGTAGCCTGCCCACACGGCAGAGTCTGGCAAACTCCCCGTGACATGCCCAATATGCCAAATACCAGTAACAATGATGGGTCTCATTCTCCTAAAGAGCCTTGAATATAATCTCAGGGCTAGGATGAAAGAGACGTTACTGGGTCCTGCTCGAGGCAATCGAACAAATAACAGGATGATTTGTGATTTGTGATTGTGTTGTTCATGCCCAATTCAATCAGCCTAATCAGTGGCTGAATAAATAGCAGTACTCCTACATTTAAAAAAATCCACTAAAACCCGGGGCTTGAATTTCACCCTGCAAGCCCCAACTCATCGCCCGGACACCTGGAGAAAAAGCAGCTCTGAGCCTCTCTGCCTCTCCCTTTCCGTCGCCCAAGCTGAGCTGGTCTCTTTTCCTCACCCAGTCTTTACTCCCCCAAAACACACCAGGTACCCGTGGGGGAGTGGCCACTTTAGAAGTGGGCGTGGCTTTTAGAAGTGGGCGTGGCCTGATTTTCGGCGGGCCAATGCTCACACGGCCACAAGTAGTTTACTCACACCAAGAAATCTAATCCCCACAAGTACACACCAACATGAAGAAACAATGCAAATCCCCACCACAGGGAGAGGACGAGGAAACGAGTCCAGAAGCCTCAGTAGGGTGCTAGCCACGTAAGGGACCTCTCTGACAAAGAATTCAGATATGAAGTCATCAAGATGTTCAATCAGCTCAATGAAACAGTCAGACAGATATCCAGTAAATTGAAAGAGGACAAGAAAGAAACAATGGATCGTACAATTGACAAAATACAGGAAGAAATGAGAGCAGAAATTGGAAAGCTTCGCATAGAAATGGCACGAATCAAAGATTCCATAGATGAAATGAAAAACTCAGTCTGTGCCCTCAAAAATAGAATGACCACAGCTGAGGAAAGAATCAGTGAGCTGGAAAATCAGCTGCACCAAGCCAACATGCAACAACAAACAGTGGCAAAGCACCTCAAAATAGCTCTACAGAGAATCAGAGTCCTAGGAGACGATTCCAAAAGAAACAACATTAGAATCATTGGACTACCAGAAGCTCAGGGAAACAATCACAGTGAAAAACGCATGGTTAAACAAATCATCGCCGAAAAATTCCCAGAGCTCCACGATGCAGCCATTCAGATTCAAGAATCCCGAAGGGTGCCAGCTAAAAGAGACCCAAACAAAAACACTCCAAGACATATCATAGTTAGAATGATTGATGCTGCTGGTAGAGACACAATACTGCAAGCAGCAAGGGCAAAGAAGAAAATTATATACAAAGGAGCACCCCTTAGATTCACAGCAGACCTATCAGAGGAAACCCTCCAAGCCTGAAGGCAGTGGCGAGATATAGTGAAAAAACTCACTGAAATGAATGCTTCACCAAGAATACTCTATCCGGCTAAACTCTCACTCAAAATCAAAGAAACGGTACACTATTTTCTAGATAAACAGCAGCTCAGGAACTTCACAGACTCAAAACCAAATCTAAAACAAGAGCTAAAGGGGCTACTATAAGACAAGACAAACCCTACAACCACAACAAACCCTTACAGAAAGATGACACAAAACCCCATAACAATAATCTCTCTCAATGTCAAGGGCATAAATTCACCATTTAAGAGACACAGAGTAGCAAAATGGATACAGAGACAGAACCCAACATTCTGCTGCCTACAACAAACTCATCTCAACAGTCAGAGCAAACTCAGACTCAAAGTCAAAGGATGGAAAACAATCCTGCAAGCAAACAACTACTTCAAAAAAGCTGGGGTGGCCATACTAGTATTCGACAACATTAATTTCACATTGAAAAAGATTAGAAGGGACAGAAAAGGCTATTTTCTCTTCATCAAGGGATACGTACAACAGGAAGAAATCACACTCTTAAATGTATACGCACCTAATGAAGAAACCGTTAAATATTTAACTGAGGGTAGAAGTGAATCACACACAGACACGGAGAACTAAATCAAACACCTGGAAATTAAACAACTCAATGCTGAACAAAGAGTGGGTCAGGAAGGAAGTCAAGGATGAAATCAAACAATACCTGGAAACAAATGGGAAGGAAGACACGAGCTACCAGAACCTATGGGATGCAGCGAAAGCTGTATTAAGGGGAAAATGTATAGCTCTGCAAGCATATCTTAGGTCTGTAGAAAGGATGCACATAAACAACTTGACCTCACAGCTCAAGACCGTAGAAAAGGATTAACAGAAAGATCCTAAATCAGGCAGAAGGAAGAGATCATAAAACTTAGAGCAGAAATCAATGACATGGAAACCAAAGAAACAATCTAAAAGATAAATGAAATCAAGATCTGGTTCTTCGAGAAAATAAACAAAATAGATAAACCACTAGCAACACTCACAAAGAAATAGTGAGAGAACCCTAATAAACCGAATCAAAAATGAGAAGGGGGATATCACAAAAGAAACCAAAGAAATCCAAAAGATCATCAGAGACTACTTTGAAAGTCTGTATGCCACTAAACAAGAGAACCTAGAAGAAATGGATAAATTCCTGGACTCCTATAATCTCCCAAAACTGAATCAAGAAGATCTGGAGTATCTGAATAGACCTATTAACATCAAGGAAATCGAAACTGTAATCAAAAGTCTTCCCAAAAACAAAAGCCCGGGCCCAGATGGATTCACTATCGATTTTTTCCAAACATTTAAAGAGGACCTGCTGCCAGTCCTTCTCAAGCTTTTCCAGGAAATTTAAAAAACGGAAACTCTCCCAAACAGTTTCTATGAAGCCCATATCTCTCTAATACCAAAAGGAAACAAAGACACCACAAGAAAAGAAAACTACAGGCCGATATCCCTGATGAACACAGATACGAAGATTCTCAACAAAATACTAGCAAATAGAATTCAACTACTCATCAAAAAGATCATACACCATGACCAAGTAGGATTCATCCCAGGGATGCAAGGCTGGTTTAACACTCGGAAATCAATCAACATAATACACCATATCAACAAAAGAAAAGACAAAAATCATATGATCATATCAATGGATGCAGAGAAAGCATTTGACAAGATCCAGCACCCCTTTATGATGAAAACCCTAGCCAAAATGGGGATAGAGGGGACTTTCCTCAATATAGTTAAAGCCATCTACCACAAGCCTACAGCAAGCATCATCCTCAGTGGGGAAAAACTGAGAACCTTCCCTCTAAGATCAGGGACAAGACAAGGATGTCCACTCTCTCCACTGCTGTTCAATATAGTACTGGAAGTACTTCCAATAGCGATTAGGCAAGAAAATGATATTAGGGGCATCAAGGTAGGAAAGGAAGAAATCAAGCTCTCACTATTCGCAGATGATATGATACTATACTTAGAGAACCTTAAAACCTCTACCAAAAAACTTCTAGAAACAATAGGCTTGTATAGTAAAGTTTCAGGGTATAAAATCAATACCCAAAAGTCCATGGCTTTCCTATATGCAAATAGTGAAAGAGAAGAAAGAGACATGAAGAAAACAATTCCATTCACAATTGTGCCCCAGAAAATCAAGTACCTAGGAATCAGCTTAACTAAGGAAGCAATGGACCTGTA